GAGAGATTGGTGTGCTGGTGAGTTCCTCTCTGCCAATGGAGGTGTTGGAGAGTTGCCTACTACTCACCATGAGCCTAGGGAAAGGACTCAAAGATGGCCTGCTACGTATGTTCCCAAGAAGTTGTCAGGACATGGAAGACAAGTGTGCCGTGAAGGGTATGCATTTCCCCTGGACCGGGTATGGTCCCAGCATGAGCAGCCCATAAGTGGGGTTGCCTTAGCTCCTCTCCCTACACACCCGCATCTTGGAGAGGTGGCCGGCATGGCGGAAGAGGGGAGAAGCCAACACTGCTCCTCCTTTTCCTGCTGCAAGTGGGCAGCCTGGAGCGGGCCTAGAGTGGAGAAGGGAGAAATGCTTTTCTTTTTAATGTTGAAACTTTTAAGTCTTCTCATCTTAAAAGAATTTTAGACTTTTCCAGAAAAAGTTGCAAAAATCATATAAGGAGCGCAACACAGGACAGAGATCTCAGAGAAAGGGGAAACAAATAGAGCCCTGCAATTGCCCAGTTTACGGGCCTGAGAGAGTTTCCAGGCCATAGAACAGAGAAAGGGAAGCCGAGGGGAGCCCAGTTATCATTCGAAGTTGAGCTTATGGAGCTGGAATGCCAACGAGGCCACGGTGTGAGTACTGGGGAGGAGAAGGCTGCACAGAGTTCCAGAGGTGTGTAGATCGGGAATCTTCAGTAGAGTACGGACCAGCACCTGTGTGTAAAGAAAATACTCAAGGCTGGGGAAAGAACTACCTGAACGGATTAGAGGGAACAATCCTTGGAGGTCCCACAGGGCCCAGATAGTTTCTGTTTCCACTGGCCAGAATGGAAAACTTCATAAATCCCAAGACACTGGGTAGAATATTCAGAGAGGCATTGCCTCAGTAGTAGGGATTAATTACCCCTAGCCTAAAGGCTGCTCTGATCCCATTTAAAACAAAGCTTAAAAGGAGGCCTCAGAAGGATCAAACTATTTCCAAATAACTGTGTCCCAGAACAAAGCTCAAGAATATTTATAGGAATACAAAAATACACAGTACTCATTAAGGTAAAAGTCACAATGTGTGGCATCTAATAAAAAATTACCAGGCATGCAAAGAAGCAGGAAAAAAATGACCCAGAATGAGGAGAAAAATCAACCAATACGAAAAGATCCAGTAATAAAACAGATAATAGTATTCATAAACAAGGATATTAAAACAGTTATTATAACTCTATTCTATACCTTCAAGAAGATAGAGGGCAAATGTGAGACCAGAATGGGTGGTTGATTTAGGGGTGACATAACTGTGAGTTCAGAGACTGCATGCTCATACCTAATGACTTGGTCTTTCCATTCCTATCTATTTGTAAGTGATAGTCTTGTTTGTTCCATCATATATTCCATCTGCAACATGTCGTAGAGGGAAATAACTTATTGTTTTAACTAAATCTTATGAAGTCCACCTTTTTCTCACAATCTACTTGCTCACTCATGGTGTATAATTAAAACATGCTATGGGGACTTCCCTGGTGGTGCAGTGGTTAAGAATCCGCCTGCCAATGCAGGGGACACGGGCTTGAGCCCTGGTCCGGGAAGATCCACATGCCGCGGAGCAACTAAACCCGTGCGCCGCAACTACTGAGCCTGCGCTCTAGAGCCCGCAAGCCACAACTGCTGAACCCGTGCACCACAACTACTGAAGCCCACGCACCTAGAGCCCGTGCTCTGCAACAAGAGAAGCCATCGCATTGAGAAGCCCACGCACCACAACAAAGAGTAGCCCCCACTCAACGCAACTAGAGAAAGCCCGCGTGCGGCAACGAAGACCCAATGCAGCCAAAAATAAATAATTTTTTTAAAAAAACATGCTATGAGTTTCACCTATATTTCATAAACTAGTATTTTACATATAATCTATGCTTAATGCTTCTTATGAGTTTTATCCACCCTGTTTGTTTTTCTTGTACTTTATGGCAGATTATAATATCTATGTCCATACAATATTTATAGCATTTATACACAGGTATATCTGTCTATCTACTTATAACATAATGGCAGGGACTTTGGCTGTCTTGTTCACTATGATAACCTCTGCACCAAGGACAGTGCCTGACACACAATAGATGCTCAAGAAATCCTTGTTGAATTACGACATATGTTAGAGTTTTTCCAAATACATATACTATTGTGCAACCTCGTTGTTTCCCTTTTGTCACTATTTGCTTGGCCCTTGGGTACACTGTATTTTCTTAGGAAAAAAGTAATGAAATTGCCACTCAAGTGGTAACTAAAATATTTACAGTGTTTACAGTGTGAGTCAAAGAACTAACTAGTGGGACCACAACTGGTATGAATAACCAACCTAAAATAAAATGGAGGAAATGAGAAGAACACCTAGATTTAATCTTACCCTTTAGCTACAGTGCCTCTACTCTATTCTTCAATTCCATGTGCCAGTCCAAATGACATCTCTGCACTGGGGCAAAGTGTTTTCCAGGATGTGCACTTAGTAAGGGGCAAGGCGGAGGTAAGAACAAACAATTGTTCAACTAAAAGGAAAAGACTAATCCAGCATTTTGCAATTTTCTCATCAGTGGGGCTGAGGCAGGGGAGGTAGGAAGGACATTGGGAGAAGGGACTGGGACATGTTTCAGGTGTGCGAATTACTAGAAACAATGAGAAGGTGGGCTGTGCATGCCAACTGCAAGGAAGGCACCTGCTAGCCAGGTTCTTTACTCGGCAGGGGTTGTGTTTAAAGAAAGATATTATTCAAGCCAGAATTCACACCTCCTATGAGTCTCACTTAGTCAGTAGGGCCTAGTGAGAGCTGGAAGAAACATAGGAAGATTGAAGTGCGGGCAACAGCAAGACATTGGCAAGCAATTGTGAAGTGGGCATCTCTGCCCTTCTGAAGGCTGTGCCAGTCATTGAAATAATCTCAGATGAACAGCCATATTAGGAAAATTACTATTATTATGCATTACAAGGTTACAAAGAAAATGTGTCCTTTTATAGCATCGTACGTTTAAAAAAAATCTTAGAAGTGTTGGAAGTTTTCTCTAGATTCCCTCTTCCTAATTCTGGCCTGTGTGTTTTTTCAGATTTCCTCAGAGGCCATTTTCCATTCATTGGCTACAAAAGAGGTTGCACATTGATATCACTTCTGAAATTGCTAATTTCTACCAGGACAGGAATTAGAATTTCTCCAAAGATTTATGCTGGCAGTTTCTGCTTTCTTTTGGGGGTGAGGTAGAGGGATGGACTATATTATTGCTGAAACATGAAGAGAAGGCAAATTTTTGTTTTATAAGGTAAGTCCTATCCTGCTTGTGTCAAAATGGCTTGTGATATGCTGCAAAGGACACCATTAAGAAAGTAAAAAGACAGCCCACAGAAGAGGAGAAAGTATTTGCAAATCACATATCTGATAAGGGCCTTGTATCTGTAATATATAAAGACCTTTTGCAATTCAATAATAAAAAGACAAATACCCTGTTTTTAAAAGGGTAAAGGGTCTGAATGGACTTTTCTCCAAAGAAATTATGCAAATAGAGGATAAGCGCACGACAAAATGCTCAACGTCATTAGTCTTTAAGAGAAACGCAAATCAAAATCCCAGTGAGCTATCACTTCACTCCCACTAGGATGGCTATAATCAAAAAGACAATAACAAGTGTTGGTGAGAGTGTGGAGAAGTTGGTATGCTTGTACACTGCTGGTGGAAATAGAAAATGGCGGAGCTACATTGGAAAGCAGTGGTAGCTTCTCCAAAGCTTAAACATAAAGTTGCCACATGACCCAGAAATCCCATTCCTAGGTATACACCCAGAACAAATGAAAACCTCTATCCACACATTGTATGATTCCATTTATAGGAAATGTCCAGAACAGCCAAATCTATAGAGACAGTAAGTAGATTGGTGGTTGCCTGGGGCTGAGGGGTGTTGTGGGAGGTGGAGAGAGACTGTTGTTGATGGGTACTGGGGTTTTCTGGGGGGTGATGAAAATGTTCTAAAACAGTATGATGATGGCTGCTCAACTCCACGGATAAACTAACAACTATTTAAATGGGTTAATTGGATGGTTTGTGAGTTATAGCTCAATAAAACTATCATTAAAAATGAAAACGGGCTTCCCTGGCGGCGCAGTGGCTGAGAGTCCGCCTGCCGAAGCAGGGGACACGGGTTCGTGCCCCGGTCCGGGGAGGTCCCACATGCCGCGGAGCAGCTGGGCCCGTGAGCCATGGCCGCTCAGCCTGCGCGTCCGGAGCCTGTGCTCTGCAACGGGAGAGGCCACAACAGTGAGAGGCCCGCGTACCGCAAAAAAAAAACAAAAAAACCACCAAAACCCCAAAACCTTGTGACAACGTCCAGTGCATCCTACCTTTTAAATAAATACAAGTACTACCTGCAGTGGTAATACTACTTTTTAATACTTGGGCCTAAAATCGTGAGGTGGGTAAGATCCAGAGTAAAGAGCCCTTTGGGTTCACAGCATTTCTTAGATCTGGCAGGCAGGCTACTTGGAGTGTATTTTCCAGGCCAACAAAATTTGATGCTGGTGCATCACGGTGCTTTTGTCAAGGTCACAGTGAAAGTCAGGACAAGCGGGTCTCCAGGGCATGAGCTCAGGAGGGCCATGCTCTTGGCAACTGGGGACAAGGAGTACAAACTCAGAGGTGTTTTAAATAAGCATCTTATCTCGATTCTGGGCTAACACTACATCTGTGTTTAGTTTGGAATTGAAGATTTACATCCAGCTGGCGCTTTGAAAGAGCTTTTACTCTGCTTGAAAAGCCTCAAATTGTTTTGAGGGAAAAAAATGGGACTCCTAAGGCTGGAGGGACGGCAACAACAGCAAAACCCTGAAATTCGTGAATCCGCCCTTCTTAGGGCGCTGCCCGGGGGAGGCGGCAGGGGGCGCCCGGCGGGCTCCTGCCCCGCCGCCCTTCCCGGACCTCCCCCCGCCCTCCGCTCGCCCTGACGTCCGAAGACCCCGCCCCTCCCTCCCGAGCCTTCAAAGGGCGCTCGGGGGCTGCGGGGCTGGAGCTTCTGCATGTAGCCGAGGGGCCCCGCCGTCGCCTGCCCGTCCCGGGGCCACCGGCGGGCGCTGGCTTCCCCAGCTCTCTTCCCGCGTCGCAGGAGCAGGTGCCACAGCCGCCGGCCACTCGCGCGGAGGTGGGACAAGGAAGGGCGCGCAGGGACGCCACATGGAGAGCGGCGGCGGGGCTCCTCCGGCTGGGGAGCTCGGGGTGGCGGCCGAGTCCGCACAGTGCCCGCTGCCGCCGGGGGACGAGGGCGCGGCGGGGCCGGCGTGGCCGCTGGAGCCCGAGGGGGCGGCCGAGGGCGGGGGCGGGCCGCGGCGGGCTCTGCGGGCCGTGTACGTGCGCAGCGAGAGCCCCCAGGGTGGCGCGGCCGGCGGCCCCGAGGCGGGGGCGCGGCGGTGCTTGCTGCGGGCCTGCGAGGCCGAGGACGCCCACCTCACCTTCGTGCCCTTCGGGGAGCTCGACTTTGGGGAGACAGCCAAGCTCGACGCCTTCTACGACGCAGGTGAGGCGGTGTCCCCTTTCGCCCCCACCCCATTCCTCCCAGTTTTCCTTATCTTCGCCCACGCCACCGAAGCACCATCTCTTCCTCCCCATCCTAGCACCAGCTGACTCTTTTCGACAGGACCGCCCCACCTTTTGGGGAGGGCAGAGTAGGTAGCCTTGTACCCTTTACAGGTAAGAAAACAGAGGCCCCTGGCTTTCATAGTTCTTTATTCTTCAGTTTTCTTAAACATCAGATGATCCAAGAAACAGCCTCTAACCCAGTCGAGGCTGAGTTCCCCGCCCTCCACTAGTTATTCATCTGTTAGTTTCTCACTCCTGTGGGTCCCAACCCTGGCTACACGTTAGAATCACCTGTGGGAGCTTTTCAAACTCGTAATGCCCAGACTGTATCCCAGACCAATGATATCAGAATCTGAGGCCTCAGGATTGTCGAATGCTTCCCACATGATTCCATTTTGCAGTCAAGGGTGGGTAATGGTCTATTACAATGGGGGACGGGGGGAGGGGGCGTCTCTTAGAAATGCCCCGGTGTTCTTTTGCACACTTAACACAGATTGACAGTGGGGCTGTGCTCTACTACCAGTGTGACAGATATATTTTATCCTGTAGTGCACAAACATTCCCGGCTTCAGGATCTCCTCCGTTGCCGGAACGGGACACTCAGCTCACTGTAATAAGTGTGCCAGAAGAACCCAGCCTTAAATCAGTACTTTTGATTGGCACGAGTTCCTCCAGGTGTGGAACTGATTGTTGCTTGGCTGTTTTCCTTACCGAACCTTTGGAAGCTATGTGACAAGCCTCTGGCACTTGGGTGATATTCACAAGCATTGTGGGACAGTAGTTCACCTGGGAGACCCTGTGCCTTGGTTTCTCCACTGGTCAAACAGGAGTAACATGCCTGCCCTAACCCCAAAAGCTTGTGAGAAGGTAAATGGCGGCGGCCACACCGTGCTGATGAGATGGTAAGCTAGCTTTATTACCATCCATTCTTTGCCGGGATCTGTTTTCTGCAGAGCAAATCCTCCCCAGCTGGAAGCTGTTTAACAAGCTTGTTTAAACAAGTGGCTGCTGGGCCTCTGAAAACACTCCCTGGATGTTTCTGACCACTCAGAGTAGACTCTTCAGCGCAACATCTTTTTTAGAAAAGTTGTTCAGGAGCCCATTTCACCTGGAACCACTCGGTTTTCTCGACTTCTGTTCATTCTCTGCTGAAAATGGAGTTTGAACAGACTCTTCTCTGAATGGTTAAATGTCCATTTGGCCATTAGGCACAGCTGTAACCTCCTGCCTGCTGGTGCCAACTCTGAAAATTGGCGTGCAGTGGCTTTGCTTCTCTCTCTCTCTGTGTGTGTGTGTGTGTGTGTGTAAAACAAGCCTTCGTTCTGGGTCCTCATTGCCTAGAATTTTCAGCTGCAGTATGTACCTCCTTTGGTTGGCCTCGGCCTGGTCTTGAATAAATCGTTTTTCAGTACATCATCATAACCAGTAAGTTCTTTTCATAGGTTTGACAAACAATATACGAAACTCCAAGAAGTCGGTTCACGGATTTAAACAGACACCACGCCCCCACCCCGGCTTCCTGATCTCTGCCATTCACAGCTTTTTGGTGTCTCCGCCAAAAAGATATAAATCTGTCACTTTGGCTTTTTTGTAGAAGTTCTACAACCTTGCTCGCCAAGAACTGTTGAACTGTCCCAGGTGTGTTTCGGGCGGGGGGGGTGGATCATAGATGTGAAATTTAAGCACTTCCCATCTCCTGTTGTCATAATGAGTCAAGGCTGGGTTGGATCGTGTTTTCCATCTCCTTGTGCAGTTTTATGTGGTCCTTTGTGGGTCTGAATAGGAGGTTATGTGTCACCAGTGCCTGGGTGATTTGATGGGCTGCAGGAGAGCTATCAACCCATGCAAGGGGGCACGTGGGCGCTGTTGTGGAAGAAAACCGCCGTAAGCCATGAGGGCTGAGGAGCAGCTCATTGGCTTTTTTTTTAAAAAAAAATTATGGTAAAGTGTACGTAATATAAAATTTGCCGTTGAAACCATTTTTAAGTGTGGATTTCAGTCATTAAGTACACTCGCACTGCTGTGCAGTCATCCCCACGATCCATTTCCAGAACTTTTTCATCATCCCAAACAGAATCTCTGTACTCTTTAATAACTTGCCATTCCTCACTCCCCCAGCCCCTGCTACCCACTGTCCTACCCTCTGTCTCTGTGAATTTGACTCCTCTAGATGCCTCATATGAGTGGAATCATACAGTATTTGTCTTTCTGTGACTGACTTATTTCACTTAGCGTGATGTCTTAGGCTATGGTGAATAATGCTGTAATGACCAGGGTGGATAAATTTCTGTTCAAGTCTCTGCTTTCACATTTTTGGGTGTATACCGGGACGTGGAATTACTGTGTCAAACGGTAATTCTATGTTTAATTTTTTGAGGGACGTTCTTTTTACTTTTAGCAGAGGTGGTGCTCATCTCTGTGTGCCTTTGGCCCATAGAAGGACCTGGTTTTTTGTTTGTTTCTTTTGGGTTTTTTGTTTGTTTGTTTGTTTTTGACATCCAGCGTCCATCCTCAAAGATGAGAGTCTCAAATTCAGTAAAGCTGTCAAATTCAGCAAGTGAGGGTCAATCACTCGGTTACTTCTAGGAGTTGGAGAACAAAACATTTCTCTCTTTTTTTGTTTTTTAGAAGAAACCGCCTTTTCTGAATATGCCTTGGCGCCTTTTGTTGAGGTGCCCATTTCTCTACTTGAACAGAATTCATAGTCACGACTTTAGCTAATGTACTGTGTGTGTTGGGTGTGTTTGCACAGAGCAGCCTCCTCTGCTTCCTCGGGTGCATGCTCTGTCTGTCTCCTGGAGGTTCTCAGTGCTTGTGAATGTATGGAAAACTCGGACATCCTACAGGAAGGAAACCTGGGTAACTCTGTCTCATGCTTTCCCAAACATCTTGACCACAGAAAGTGTTCTCCCAGGATGCTGTAGTTGAATACATTTATTGTGGTTATTGAGTTAGCTATTAACTGCTCCAGTGACAAGAACGGCCCCTTTGATCAGGACCTGGGACTCAGGTGAGCTTCCCATACCTGATGTGCCTGACTCTGCCTGCCCTCCCTCCTCTCTGAGCCTCACATACATGCTACTTTCCTGACTCGGGGGCCCTGCTTCTGATTTTCTTCTTCAGCTATGTTCACAGTGATTTTAAACGTTGGGAGGTATTGCCACCTGCAACAGGAAATCCTTGCATTTCCTGAACATTGATTAAAAGACCAAGACATCAGTCTCCAGGTTAGTTACTTGACTTTGCTGTGTCCTGATGATTCCCCTTTTCTGGCAAGAGTCATTTGGAGGATACAAAGTGTGGCAGAGGTAGCTAGGTGGTCAGGAGATTGATTCTCCTACTTGTTGCTGGGAAGCAGGGACTACATTTTCCAGCACCCTTTGAGTCTATGTGGGCCATATCACTAGTTCTGGCCAATGAAATGTGAGTATTAGTCATGTCTATCACTTTGGGCCAAGGCGTTGGCGTATCTGTAGATCTTCTCGTACTCTCTCATCCCTTTCTGTGGTCTCCGTGGGGCCCTTGGAGGCTGGCTGTAGAAGATGGCAGTAGCACATGATGGAAGGTACCTGGATGCCTGAACCACTCTTTTGAGGATAGCTGTAGGACCAGGATCATCCACTTTGGATTTTGCATAAGCAAGAGAGAAGCTTTTATTTAGTCAGACTCCTAAGACTTGGGGGTGGTTTTTTTTTTCTTTTTTTTTCTTTTTTGCGTTACGCGGGCCTCTCGCTGTTGTGGCCTCTCCCGTTGCGGAGCATAGGCTCCGGACGCACGGCTCAGCGGCCATGGCTCACGGGCCCAGCCGCTTCGCGGCATGTGGGAACTTCCCGGACCGGGGCACGAACCCGTGTCCCCTGCATCGGCAGGCGGACTCTCAACCACTGCACCACCAGGGAAGCCCTGGGGGTGGTTTTTATAGTGGTAAGAGAGTACAACTTGGGTTATGAAAATATAGCCCAACTGCTAGAAAGTTGTCTCCTAGGGCATGCCTTTCCAAGAGAAAGTCAGGTCATGTGTCATCTCATGTAATGGACTGTCACTGGTAAAAATATATGCCAATCGTGGGGCCCCTCACTATGCTGCTGTGGGCCAAGAAAATGGAATGGAAATGCTTGGGCCATCAGGTTCATACCAGCCATGGGAGGAGACATTCTAGCTTCTTCCCTGGTTTCACTGGTTTTGGAGGCTAGGTAATTTTTTCCTTTTGTATTAAATGACACTGGAGTGATTCTGTTAGTTTTTATCCAACAGTAAGATTGGGATTTTTGCAACAAAAAAGGATATATAATGGTTTAAAAGAAGGCCAGCTCTAGTTCCATTCTCTGCCCTTCATGGGGGTTGTGTCTCGCTTCACCTTCTGTGATGTTACTCATGGATTCTTCGTTCGCTTGATGCGCTGTGTGGCATAGAGCGTGCCCACCAGGCTTCCGTAGAGTCTTCCACATTGCCTAATCTCCTTTGCAGTTAGCTGGGGTCCTTTTGACGAGTGCTGGCCAATGAAATGTGAGCAGCATCAACAAGTGTCACTTTGAAAGCGACTGAGAGTTAGATGATACACCGCCTCCATCTCTCTTTGCCTCTGTCATGGCAAACTTGAAGGTTGTGTGTTCAAGATGGCAGTTAAGCCCCTGGAATTTGGGGGATTTGTCTGATGTGGCAGCATCGCGTAGCTCATCCTGACTAATATAGCTTGCTGTGCGTTCTGCTAGAAATGCCTGAATGTATCTCTCAGCTGACTTTAATGGGCTTAATCCACAGGTGCATTGGCTCCTGCTTAAGAAAGAGACTTAGGGTCTTCCCCGGTGGTCCAGTGGCTAAGAATCCACACTCCCAATGCAGGGGGACCGGGTTCAGTCCCTGGTCAGGGAACTAGATCCCGCATGCTGCAACTGAAAAGGTCCCGCATGCTGCAGCTAAGACCCGGCACAGCCCAAT